TTGACGTAATCTATTTCATGTCATTGTTTAGGAAAATATAGGTGGTTTAATCAATGGGTTTGACGACCATTAGTCATTTATTTTGGATTTTTGTTACCAAACCTATAATAATTGCCAGACCAAACGATCTTTTTATTTATTTATTTATTTATTTATTAATTAATGTTAACGGGCATTGCTCTTTACTATAGTAATTTACAATTATATATACGGTAAGCCTTAACATCTTCATATGAAATAATTTTTTATACAGCCCGCGAATAGTTTTGTAATATACTGGGTGTTATGCAACTGATGGTACAACCGGGTAAGGGGTGATTCTATGTCAAAAAATAAGTCGAAAATGTGGAATAAAATTTCTTCATTTCAGACTTCGTTTTCGAGAAAGTCGACCTTGAAAATCTTCTGGATACGCGTGCAATTGAATTGGCCAAAAGACTTGGCTAGCGCATCTGTTCATTGCATTCCGCTTCTACTTATAATTAATACCACGACTATGTAATATCACAGACGAGATATATGAATAGACCTAACATACAATGTAATTTTCTGTCCTATGCTTCGGGGGGGTCAGAACCCCCATATGATTTCAGTATTCCATTTCTGGCTAGCGAAACCGAGGCAATAATGTATGTATGTATCGCTATATGCAATCACGGGTGTGTGCTTGCTGTGCGTCATTACGGTGTCGAACGTAGTTCCTGAATTCGGAATCTTTTATATGTAGTGCGCTTGAACCAGCGTGATTATTGTGAGACACCAAGTCCCATAAGATGTTTGGTCTATTCTTTTATCTCGTCTGTACTAATACACACATTTCACAAGGGGAAGCACAGATAATTGTCACCGAATCGATAGAAATTTAGCAAGCATGTAGTTCTTGATGCCTACTATAAAATGTGCAAGCCACTCGACGCACTATTCAAGCGTTTTGCAGAAATGAGTGTTTAAAATTATGGCATTCAGAATATAACGCTTTGGAGAAGCATATCTTGTAGAAGCCGCCGTGGCGTAGTTGATCCAGTGATAGCCTACAGATCGCTATATCACTGGTTCTATTCTCGGCTGTTGCAATTTTTTTTAACTTTTTTCTCTCTTTTTTTTAAATACATCTATTACCGTTGAACAACAAGAATTAATGCTTACTGTTCTTTTTATTTTTTTTTTGTTAAATTTTGGAATGAAATTGGTAATTCTTATACTTTTTGGTTCTTTCCTCTATATACTGCACATTTATTGATAGCACTTTTGTATACAATCACTATAATTCATATGTTAACTCATAACGTTGAAAGGGTGTATAAGAAACAGGAAGTAACAAAAATTACGAAGAAATGACAATGTTTATAAGAGATTGGAAACCAACATTACAATACAATACAATGTAATAAAATATAATAGTTCTATATAATATTTCAATTATCTACTGTTTAATTATATTTTGCATGAATTATTTTCGGGAAGATATGGTTGATCGTTCGATTGTGAATCACCAGCATCGACTGCATTTTTTTTACGGGGGAAAACCTTGATAAAGGCGGTACCGCTTCCCCTGGGGGCGGAGAGCCCTGTGCGGCGTTTCGTGTGAAACGCGGAAGCACACTACTGTGACCAACCCAGCCCTTGCCCCACCCCCCCCCCCTCAAATGAGGGCTATTTTGGCGTCCCGCCTCCTCCTACCTACAGCGTCGAAAAGTCACCACTCGACGCTGTTTCCTTTGGGCCGGCCGCGATAGGGGTGGTACCCCCAGTACCACAACTTCGGCCCAGGCAGCCTCGCGCAGCCCACCGCAGTTGCGACCTCATGAACTCGCGCGCCCGCGGGGCAGTGCATCGGCTGCATATTTCAACCTTGCATTCGAATATTTTCTGCTCTCGTTTTACGTGACCTTTAATTTGTCCTGACTTTTATGGCATCGGTAGAAATTTCTACATTCCGTTAACAGACACACAATAGACAATGCCTTGAACATTTGGCCTGCAATCAGTCATGTACGCGCGGTAAAATTTTATTGTCTTGTTTCTTTCAACGTTATGAGTTAACATGTGAAATCATAGTGAGCGTAGGTATACAAAAGTGCTATGAGTAAATGTGCAATAGACAGAGAGAAGAACCAAAAAGTATAAGAATTACCAATTTCATTGTAAAATTTAACGAAAAAAAATGAAAAGAACAATAAAAATTAATTCTTGTTATTTAACAGTAATAGATATATTAAAAAAAAAGGAAGAAAAAAAAGTTAAAAAACATGCAGCAGCCGAGAATAGACCCAGGAATCTCACGGTCCGTAGGTTATCACCGCATCAACTACGCCACGGCGCGGCGGCTTCTGCGATACGCTTCTCCAAAGTGTCGTATTCCCCATGTCGCACAGTGGTTCAGAACGCTGATTTAGCAGTTCAGAAGCTTAAATTGGGTGTAAAAATGGGGATCTCAAAACCAAACTTGGTAAACATGTATTTAATGTTCCTCTTTTTTAAAAAAAATAAAAAATTAATAAGTAATGTTTGTTAATAATAACTTTTTGATAAACAAAATAAAAAAAATTTTTTTTACGGATTTATCATTGTCAATTACAAGTTCTCGTATATTTTCTCGAAAATTAATGGACTTCTTTACCAACATTTTTTTTCTGGATAACGAAATTGCGGATATTAAACAATCAGGGAATGCTAGTAATGTATGGAACAACTTGTAGGATTTCGAGCGGGGAAAAGAATCGGACACGTCTTAAATATTGAAGTCGTTTATTCTCTTATGTTTGTTACGAGCCAGGGCTAAGCGGCTGCGAGAGCCGAGGAAATGGCGAGTTTGGTTTTTTAGACTTTGTTACGTGGACGTACCTGTGCCTATTTCATCACAGGGAGCCACTAGGAAAGATTTTCGTGGACGAACCCGAGCCTATTTCATCTCAGGGAGCCACTAGGATTGTAGCGATGCCTTTTGGTAAGAGGACTGTGAGACTGTGAGTGACCGCACGGCACTTCCCCCAGAATCTCTGAGGAATACAGATCTCACTTAAAAATCGAGGCATCAATACAAAGTTTCTAACAGGTACATTATATACATGCTTACCAAGTTTGGTTTTGAGATTCCTATTTCTACACCCAATTTAAGCTTCTGAACTGCTAAATCGGCGTTCTGGGGTATTTGACCAGAAAAGCTGGCCAAAACCCCAAATTTTATCTTTGTTCAAAATGAGTGAAACTTTGTCCCTATGCTCCTAAGAATGAATGAAAGTAAACTGCTATCTTGGTTTTTCGAAAACAGCAGTATTTAGCAATAAATTGAGGCTTGAAGGTCAACAATTTTTGTGCTCGCAGAAATTGCCAAGAAACCTATATTAAGAAAGTGATTTATTACAAGTGTAGTGTTAAGAAAGTGTAATAACAACAAATGTAGGATATAGAGGAAAGTATGTAGAGTAATTTGGCACCTTGTTTTCTTCACTTTTTTGTGTGGTTTTGAATAAAATAACAATTTGAAAACAGTGTTTTTTTTTAACGAAGTTATAGTCATTTACAGAAACGCAGACCATTGAACGGTACCATGCACGAAAGACATGAAACCATAAAGAGGCAGGCGTTTCTGTAAATGGCTATAACTTCTTTAAAAAACAATCCGTTTTGGATGCAGTTTAGCTTTTTATGAAGGCAAAGGATCATACGATAGGCGTATATTGTATGGTTGATCTGATGATGGGGTAATTGAGGCGTGGATGATAGATCGATGAAGGACAGATATATCATAAGCATGAAATACTGTCTGATAAAGAATCTTGTACAGTATTTTCTGACGAAAATTAATTCTATTATATATTGCAAATAAAAAATATTCTTAAAATATGTATTATATACCATAAATCAGAATATTTATGATCATAAATCCAATCGACCCGCGTGCATCCATCTCTGTCAGTTGATTGTTAACCTATTAAGTAAATTTCGTCTGTCAATTCCTGACGATTGAAGTTTTTAGTATGTTATTAACTTTATTAAGACTAGGGTTCGTTGATGACCTTCTACTATATGTACATATGTACTATTACCACATATGTATGTATACATATCTTACCGTACACAAAACATTTGAAAAATATAAATTTTCTTTAAAAGGCTGCATCTTTGTTAAACAACATAATTATTCGATGAGGTTTGCTTTATTTTAAAGACAAACGATCATACTTTGCGGTGGTATATATCAAAATCGCGAAAAAAGAACCAAAAACTAGAAAGTTCAAACTTTAAAATGGTTTTATTTCATCAACTTTGGATGAATAGTAACAAAGTTATGAGATTTAAAAAATTGAGTAAATTTTAAAATAGTTGTGACCAGCTTTTCGGGTCAAATACCCCACTGTGCGTCGTAACTTTAAACACTTATTTCTCGAAAACGCTCGCATAGTGCGTCGAGTGGCTTGCATATTTTATTGGAGAAATCAAGTACTATGTGCTTGCCAAATTTCGTTCGATTCGGTGGCACAACTATCTGAGCCTCCCCTTGTGAGGTCAATTGTCAGTCATTTGTCTTGTTTGTGTTTTAGTTTTTGTACCAACAGAGACAAGACGCAAGTAACATTTGTTTGCAGATTGTGTATAGATTGTTCGCGAACATCCACAAACTTTGTTTACAGGCAAATATCTGTAGACAATGTTTATGAATGTATACAATGCTTACTAAGGAAACTTCGATAATCCGAAAATTTGTATTCCTTTCAAACCTCGCAGATGTGTAGAGGAACTAATAGAAATTATATAAAAATTCCAGATAATTCATTTTTGCTTCTTGTTTATTCTTCTGGTTGAAACATTTAGCGTAGGAAGAACTCTATTGAGTTATGCCAACAACCCGTAAAGTTATGGAAAACCGAAATTTTCTTCTAATCTCCAGAGCTTATAGTTGCACATTATTTGTGTAAATTGTTTTAGAACAGATGCATCTATTGAAGATGGTTAATTTTATTTACTTATTATATTAAATACCTTTGATTTATGTTTAGGTCAGAGGCCGGACATGCATGCATCATCGCAAATTGTGTCTGTCAGTAACACGGACAAAATTACAGGGGACTTCCTAACAAACCCTAACAAAATACTTGGTGAAGAGAATGTTTCAGAAGATGTATTAGTTCAAGACCTTATATATTCCTTTCAAGGCATTGAAGGGAAGATATTAAAGTTGGATTCCAATTATGGTTTTCAAATAGATCCTATGCTGAATATCGATAGATCCCGGAAACAGGCCACTTTGAGGCTGAGTGAATTGGGATATTTACATAATATAGTACAAAAAGGTTTGGAAAGAATATCAGCCGCTTCAAGTGGACAGGTAGCTGATAGTTTTGTCGCGGCGTTGCATTCTAAATTATCTGACTATTACAGATTTATAGCTACTATTCAAGAGGAAGTAAACAGGTATGTATTGAACTTGAAGGATCCTGAATCTTACAATTAGACTGTTTGGATTAAGTCGAATGCTTGAAATGTCTCTGTTGCTATTCAAGTACAGTAAATCTTCGATTAGGGTTTAAAGGCTCCTGGGCACTGACAAGGAGAGGTCCCCGGCTGTAATACTGACTTTTTAATGAGGTTTACCACAGTGATAGAGCTTGGAATTCTGAAGCCAATGATATTTGGTTCAGTCACATATGGCCATTAGTTTATGAAATACTTAATGTTCAGTGTCGAGGAGCCTTCGAACTTCGAACACTCATCGAATTACTGTATACTGAAAACGTTTAAACAAACTATTTATTTGTTTCGAAGGGTCAAATAGTACATAAAATAATTTTCATAATTTTAAACTACCAAATTTTTACAAGTTTAAAATACACCAGTGAACACGGTTTATGATCTTGAATGTTCATTGCTTCATACTTGTTCTGTTCTATTTTCCAATTTCAACTATTAAGTATTGGGAAGAGAGCAAGTATGCAAAGGAGACGGCAATTAGTGCTTGCCCTGGACGGTATGTCCTGGAATAACGTTTTCCCTGTTGTCGGTATCATAAATCCAACTCTGAAAAGGCCTTATGCCTGATCCATTTTGTTAGTAACACATTTTCACTGAAGGATTTACAAGCTAAAGTCGATTATTTTGAATCACATCGTGCAAGAGTAAACTCAATTTTATTGTCAAGAAGAAAATACCATTCTGTTCAAAAAGGACTGGTTGTTCAAAAGTGTTGTTGGACAGAGTTTTGTAACATTGTGCAATTTTGTATCAAACACTTTATTTAGGTACGTCGATTAATCTTGTAGATGTTTTTTAAGAAAGAAAAAAAAGTAGTAATGGAAATTATAGACTACGCTAATCGTGACTACGCGTCGTCAGCGACAATCAAATAGTGCGGCTATTCAAAAATACAAATTTACTTCCTAACAAAAAGGATAGGAAGGTTCACAACCTTGAAATTTCAAAAGATGTGACTTATGAAATATGACGTATCACATCTATTCCATCAAAGGCAACAAAGATGTTTTATGTGTTGGAGTTAAGCGGCACATTCTACGTGTATTCTTATATACATTGTTTTTTTTTATGAATGCTTGCCTGTTTATTACAGAGTGCATTCTCAATCAGGATTATACAGAGTTACTTTGTCGCACTTGCACTTGTGGGCATATGAGCCTTTAGAAACTTTAAAGTGGTTAGCAAGTATAGTGAGAACTTGTCAAGGACAAAAAGGTGGCGCACTTGCTTCTGCTGTATATGAGTTTAGTAACTACGGAGACGCATACGTGAAAAAGTTAGTCAAGGGAATTTTGGAAAGTGTTTGCGATCCTCTATATAATATGTTGATAAAGTGGATTGCTGATGGTGAATTAGATGATCCATACAGAGAATTTTTTATCGAAACTTGTGCTGACATTACTGGAGACAGAATGTGGCACGAAAAATATCAAGTTCGTAGTAGTATGCTTCCATCGTTTATTACAAAAACACGAGCCAAACAAATTTTGGGAACAGGAAAGGGTATTAACTTCTTACGTGAAGTATGTAAAGACATTACACCGTGGCAAGGCAAACATACAGACATGTTTAAAAATTTTATTGAAGAATACAAAGGTAGATAATTTAACATGGATTTGGATATTTAAAAAAAAACATAATTATTCTGAAAGTTCCAAACCGTGTGCGTTTCTCGGTATGACACTAATTTTGTTCATTTTTCTTGTAGTTGATATCCTCTTTGATATGGATCCTGATGGTCGGTTACAAACTATGATGAATGTAGCCTACAAAGAAACGTCAACTAGGGTAGTCGAAGTATTAACGAAGCAATACCATTTTATGGATCACTTACATGCTATTAAAGGTTATCTTTTACTAGGACAGGGACATTTTATTCAACATCTTATGCATTTATTAGAGTAAGTAACATTATTCATTAAAAAGTTTACGTCTGTGACTGCTGGTTACATTCGAATGTGTGTAAAAGGGCATTCACCATCTCTATTTAACAATCCTATGGGGTGGAGTTTGATATGCCCCTGTGGATTTTAGCGAATAGATAGGCTTAATGTCGTACAATGATTCATATTATCGTAGGTGACCATTTCGGTTATGAGGTAAGCGGGTCTTTTTACTGATCTTGTTACCGACCGAGTCAATAAATCAGCCGAGGAGTGCACTATTTGAGTAGTATCACAGACGAGATATAAGAATAGACCTAACATCTTATGGGACTTAGTCTCCCACTTAACTCACGCTGGTTCAAGCGCACTCCAAATAAAAGTTTTCGATTTCAGGAACTACGTTCTACACTGTAATAACGCACAGCAAGCCCACACCCGTGATTGCATATAGCGATACATACATACATTATTGCCCCGGTTTCGCTAGCAAGGAATGGAATACTGAAATGGTACGGCGGCTTCTGACGCCCCCGAAGCATGGCACAGAAAATTACATTGCATGTTAGGTCTATTGTTATATCTCATCTGTGGTAGTATAATCCATCAAGCCGGATGCATTCTAATTAATAACTCAGAAACGAAGTCTTGAATACAATTTCGTCATTCTTGATTTTCGTCTTATTTTGGCATATAGAACCAACCTTTAAAGTTTCTGACACCAGTAGCCAGTGATGGGTAAATTCCCATGAAACTAAGTTGTTTACGTTAGGTGTAAATTACACATAAATTACATACGTAATGTAATTTTAACATAACCAAAGTCATCAAATAAATTTATTTTATCATAACTTAAATAAAGTATCATAACATAAGAAAATTTGAAAAAGCATTATTTAAAGTGAAATTTTTGGTGGTTCTAAGTTGTTTTAGGTTAAGCATTGAAATTATTATTATTTCATATTGTATGTTGCAACTACAAAGCAAACAATGGAAGGTAAAAGTTTCAATTTACTAATTATATTATTGACAAGGAGTACGAAAATTTCATCTCACTTGCAAAAAAATTTTACATTCTGTCTACAAAATATGTAAAATTATTAAAATTATAACTATTTTTAAAAAATGTAGAACAAGGCGACTTCAAAGCTGAAGAAATTAATAAATTGTTAGGCACTTTTTTTTATGCAACAGTTTATTTGTTACTGTGAGATCTGAATATTTTTAAAATGTTATTAATAAACTTAATCCATCATTTAAATTCATGCTGGTTACAAAGAATTTGAAAAATCTATTGCTAAAAATTTTGTAGCATTATTACCCTTAGATAATCAAAGATATGTTTCTCTTAAATTATGGAACTTCAGTATTCTGAGTGAAACTGTATAGGCTTAAGTGATGTGGTAAATGAATGTATTATTATTTCAAGAGAAAGGTATAATGTACATATATATGCATTAATCGCAGATAACGTTGCTAATATGATTCGTGTGGGAAAATTAGTAGATAGTATATGGCATGTGACTTGTAATAGCCACAGGTAGTGCAAAAGTAAAAAATCTGTCACGCTTGAAAAATAGCGCCACCTTTTGGCCTTCTGTCATTTGCGTCGGTAAATTACAGTACGATTCGGACTACCGTAATATACGTGTATAATACATATATAAAGTTATACTTGTATTATACCATGCGTATTTTACGTATCTACCACTGCCAGTAGCCGAACACCTTGTATGTAGGGTGTTCCGCAACTGATGGTACAGGCAGAAAGATAGGGACACTACATAAAGAAAATATATTGAAAATATAATTTTTCACAATTACAAATTTTATTCTGTATTTTCTATTTATTTTTCATCTAGTATCGCTACTTTTCCGCTTGTAAACCCACGAGCAAACTGGGCTTCCACTAGGGGAAAAAGTGGCGTAGAAGAAAAGTCTCCTAACACTTGGTAAATGTATTTCAGGTACTGCAATAAATGTTAAATCGAATGTTAATTTGGCATAAATATCAGTAATTCCAAATACCAGCAGGTAGAAGCATAGTAGGAGGCCCTTCTCCTACGTCACTTTTTCCCTTAGTGGAAGCCGAGTTTGCTCGTCGATGTACCACCGGTTACGTAATATTCTGTGTGTTACGTAAGAATGTACCATAGAATATACAATTTTGTCAACTACAAATTGTATTCTGACATAGTAGTACATGTTGTTTTTGTACAGTGTATGTACACATTACTTAAAATACACAGGGTACACAAGTAAAAGCTATATTCTCAGTCAGCCAAATCTGGACAGCCAGATTTTGTCCAATGCCAGTTATAAGCTTTTGTAATCACAGTGGTTACAGATTCGATGCAGGATCTGTTATAAATAATTTGCGCACAGATTAGCTGTATGTTGGCAGCAGATCCCGTAACATAACCTAGGTTATATAACCTTAGAGAAGGGGGGGTGACCGGGGTTCGGTCACCCCCTGGGGGGCGTACAATCGCCCCCCACGGAACGGGCTCCCCGATAAGGGGAGCACAGGCGAGGCGGTGGCGGTGCGTTCACACAAGATCCCGCCACTGCCGAGTTCCGCCTGAGCAGGCTGTTGTGGGGGTTTTAGTGGGTGAGAGTCCCACACTACCTTGGAGTCCTACCCCAGGAAAAAAAAAAGGTTATTGAACCTAAATTATATTGCAGGATCTGCCGTCAATCTGCTTCACGGTTCTGTTAGCAGACTATGTCTGCAAAACTCAAGCCAAATGCGGAAACAGATGGCTATGGATTTGTAAACAAATTTCGTCACTATCTGCTACCAATTTGCACGCAAATGTTAATATGGGTTGATATCTCCTCTTCCTTTTGTTTTGTAGGTTAGAATTAGACAAACCTGCCAGTTCTTTATATCCACACAATATATCTTCTATTTTGGAAACGGGAATAAGAGCGACTAGTGCAAAAATTGACGACACAGATGTACATGGCCGACTGGACGTAAGATTGTTAGCACCCTCAGAAAATGAAACTGGCTGGGATGTTTTTATTCTCGATTACAATGTAAGCGGTCCCATTGGAACGGTACGTTTAACAAAATTTTATACATTCTACAATGTTAAAAGGCCTGCACGTAATACAATTTATCGTACGACGAGTTGTGCACAACTTGATGTCATTATTTAAACCATAAGTATAATGTCTGAGAATATAACACTGTCCAACAAATTTAAACTTCTTTTCTGATCTGCAATATTCATTGAGAGATCCTTATAAAGTTACTTGTCCAGATCACGAATCTGGAAGCAGAATTTCTCAATTTCCCTCAGTTTTTGAAAAACATGAGCTTTTGTAAAAACACCCGATTTTGGTCAAAAATGACGTATTACGTGAAAACTAAAAACGCCAGAAAGTTCAATTTAATCTTGAAAAATAGAGGAGAGTTCCGTGCATATGTTCCTCCGTATTTAGTTATTAAATTTTGTAATTCTTAATACTTGTAAAAATAGTGCATAGAAAATACGCGCATCGGCTCTTTTTTAAACTTCTATAGCTATTTACATTTTTACGAAAAGTTCTTTACCTAGCACGAATTTGCTGTACCGTATCAGATTTTGTACACATTTCTGAAGCAGAAACCATTCAGAAAAAGTGTCGAAACGGTTTTTTATTATAACAGGCCGACAAAATATCCGTCGGGAACGTGCGCGCGGCGTTTTACCGCCACGCGGTCATTGCTCGCTTACCTAGACTCTTCAGTGCCGTAACTACGCGTAATCGACACCGATAGATAGTATCGTCCATAGGCACCCCGTTGCCAGAGAGTAACTCCCTACTCTTTGCCCTTGTCATATGTATAATATTTGATTTTTTTCATGTATTCTTGGATACTAATTACGCAATTATAAACTTTTCGATTACTTTCGATTAATTTTGAAAAATTTTGTTAAACTACAGAACAAACGTAATATGAAGAATTACTTGTAACATCGTTCACGTAAACAAATTTAAAAATGTTATCGTTTTGCTTGACGTTTGTACGCAGTATCTTTATTGTTGTTCATAAGTGTCCAGCAATCGTCTAAGTCAGAGCTGCATAACTTCTGCTCCCGGAGTCGGTGCCCCACTTTGGGGGTATCTCCAGTACGCGGCTCAAGTAGTGATGGGTCTTCAAGCCGAGCGGCTCGAGGCCAACGATTCCCCAGTTCGGTTCGGCCGGCTTGAACGAGCCGGAATGACCATTTTATGAGCAGTGATCAGTGATGCCAGAATCGTGGGTAAACCGCGCGAGCGCTTACCCTCTCCATGCCTCCCGTGGG